CCCCAAAACCCCAAAACCCCTACTTCGTGAATTTATAAAAATAAATGAGTTTTGAAAAACATTAATTTTAGTGACTTTGATTTTATTAATAAATTTAAATTCGTAATCCAATATTAAATATGCCTCTACAAAGCCTAAATATACTTTCAATTCTCACCTTCATAACATTGATTTGAGTATCGATTGAAAGCAATTGTATTAAAAATTAAATATTTGATTAATATATTAGGTGAACTCAATGAGTACTATGATTTTGAGAGTGCTGCTTGCATTTGTAATATTATAAACCTTAAACAACCATAGAATGCTCCAAAATAATACTTGGTTGCAACAGGTGTTTATTTGATTTTTAAGACTCAACAGGAACTAATTTACAAGGCTCTAGCTCTTAGTAGACCCTTTAATGCCAACAATGTGAAAACGGGCTCTATTTGCTGAGTGAAAATTAGACATTAGGTACCTTAAACACTCGCTATTCGTATTGTGTACCTAGTTGTACTCAAGCTCATTTTTCTTATACTAGCAATCAAGAAACTTCTAAATGTAAAAGTAAATTATAATTCTTATCACACTATTGAATTTAGGTTGTGGTCTGTTCTGCTAAAACTGCGACAGATCTCTAGGGTGTCTAAGTTGCTTTGAAGAGACTAATAATGAGAACTGGGATGTGTCAAACTCAACTAATGTTGAATCATATATTTCAAATTTTTAAACCTGTCAATGTACTCCAATTTTTTGCCAATCTTTATTAATTTCTTCTAGAATGTTTTTAATGTTCCCAATCAGATCATGGTTATTGTAAAATTTTGAATTTAAATTTCTTAGAACCATAAACTGCTTCTTCATAATACAATATTCAAAATTGTATCAAATATGACTAGTAACTCTAATTTAATTGTATTAGCTGCTAAGAGGGCTATTATATTGATAAAAATGGGTATTTTAATGTTTCAGCTGCACTATATCAAGATATATGCTAACCAAGTATGATTAAAGCTAATCTAACTAATTCATTTAGATGTCTAGCCAAATCTCTGCTTATTTGCAGCATCTAAGTTTGAATGCGACACTTGTATCTACGGATATAGTACATATTAAATAGGGAACCAAAGTCTGTGCTATTGTAAGCTATTCATCGTCCTGCTCATTTTTTAATATAGAATGCTTAAATTAAAATGGAGATCTACTAAAGACACTAAGATGCACACTATTTCTTGATGGGTCTTCAAATAGTATATCATAGTAATCAAAAATAGCTTGCTTAAATGGTTATGTTGATAAAACAACCGATCAATGCGTCACAAACTGCGGGGTAGGAAGATATGGAAACTTAACTTTGGGTTACTAAGGAATGATTGAAAAAACAGAATGCCTATATTGTAATTCATCTTGCTTTGAATGTAGCTAAGAAAAAGAGTGCAAATCTTGCAAGAAAGGCTACTATCTTGTTTTGACAGATGGGAAAAATACTGGAATATGCTTAGAAAAGCAAGGATAATTTGATAATGTAATGTATGTTTAATCAAGAGATGAGATCGGTGAAGATCTCTAAGATGGTACCATTGACTATCCATTTAATTCTATTCTTTACGCTTTATCACAGGCATATAAAATAGGATCCTCATACGAATCAGCAACAATTAGAATAATATTGTTCTCAA